GACATGTCTCATTTGCTCGCTGTTAACGCCAATACCAAATATTTCTCAATAACTATGAAGGCCTTACGACAAACACGGTTAAATGCTGATACAGATCACTCTTGAAGTTATTTGTATAATACCAGCCTGCTGAAATAGGCCTCCGAGTTTCCGTCGGATTCTACAAAGTTCCACGGAACGATGTCAACCCAGTAGCCATCGTAGATTGATATGAAGGATACCGGAACAAGCTCAGCAGGTGATCATGCTGAGTCCTTCGGTTATCTGTTCAGCGTCTTCAAGTGCTAAAGTTTCTACGTACCAATACAAAATTGGTTCTATGTGTGGCAAGTGGACCAAAGCTAGATATACCAGTCTTCAGCGCCGCCAACCTACCCCGGTCGGTCTCCAGTCCGGCAGCCTCCGCAACCTCCTCAAAATCCTCTAGGAAGGTCCGCACATCAACCTCAAAGGGTTGCGGCCACGGGATCTTCATCCTTATCCTGACGACGGCACCAAATGTAAGGAAGAAGGCCTTCGCTGCTTAGTCATTTATTAGAGGATACCAACTAACCGGTTACAGACCACTGGACAGAGAAGCAAAACTCTCATTTGCATCTTATTTACAAAAACTTGACATCCATCTTCTCCTGAACGCGTGTTCCTGAACTTTCCTGGATATTCATTGACTCCAATCATTCCTCGCTCAAATTCAAGCAAATGTTGCAAAGCGACTCCACAGATCTCTCCTTTTCAAGAGACGCAAAGCGAAATTCCACGAACAACACATACTACTCGCGTGCCTCTCCATCAGTAGTATCACCGTTACACTTATTGGAGAGACTGTTCCTAACATGGACGATGACGAGGACAGTAAAACAGTACAGGATTCGGCGACCAGGCTGTGTATTAACTAACGATTTAAATGAATGACTTCTAATTACCTCTGAGGGCTGCTTTCTAAGGAACTTATTACTGGGTTGCTCATGTGAACTTTTCCATTGCTGGTACAAACTGGAAACAGACAATTCCGAGGCAATTCAGTAAACTTATTAAGCTTATTCAATAGCTGCATTTGACAAGTACGGAAGTTTTGCCATTGCATTTCACATCGAATTGCCCGTCTTCCGTTGTGCCTGTTGAAATTTGGTGGATGGCCTGACCACTGGGGAGAATCCACACTGTTTGGAATCTTGACGTATCGCTTAATTAGATGTTCTGTACAGGACGAATCCGGAATCCATCAGGGTTATGGAGAATTCGCTTTAGAGTCATTGTAAAGTTATGTATGAATTTTGCAGACAGATGAAAAGTATTTAATTATGCCAGACTGTGGACGATTTCCTTCGGGTTGTTTTTTATCTTGTCCCAACTCGAAAGAGATTTCCTAGCTTCATTGAGGATGTGAGTCTTCAGTCTCTTGTTCCTCGGTACATTATTGGTTTGTAAATATTCGCTGCATTTGATAATTGTTTCCAGTGTATGAACTCTACCTTTCTATCGTTTTGTCATATACAATATTGATCTTGTTGCTGGGGTCCTTATTAGTGAAGTCATTCTACTGTTATTTCACGCACTGAACGAATGACCTTCAACCACAAACTATCACTTATCGTGTTTCGGTTTGTTCCGGAGCAGCACTACCCGTTTTATTTAACAACCGAAATAAGGCCAATGTCACGAATGGAACTGTTTCGTTTAGGTCATAGCTATACTGTTCTGCTCTGGTGTTTCGCGAAGGATTTCGCTAGCGCACAGGTTCGAATCTGTTAGATATCTCACCATAAATGTCTGTAGATGGAGGCTAGTTTATTCCTGAAAGGAAGATGTTGTATTCACTGTAAATAAATTTGGATTGTCCAACCTGTTTCCTTCTGCAAGCTGTTGTTTAACTAGAGGTTTCCTATAAAGACGGGATACCGTATAGGAACCTTCAGTTGTCCTCACATTTCTTTCGAAAACGGACGGCGCCACTACAGCGAGGTTGAATTTTAATAGGAACGTTTCGGCTCGCTGAAAGGTTTATTGAATTGAAGGTTTATTGAATTTTTGAAGGTTGCTTGTTGTGCTGTCGTTCCACTTACTTTATTCACTGGAAGAGTAATCTTCATACTTTGTATGTTTGTCTGTCGATTCCAGTGAGATTCTTATAATCCAGCAAGCATCTTGTTGCCATATTATTGCGTGTCACTGTTTCCCAAGCATATATGCCCCTTCTGTATTCGGCACACTACATGCATTAATCACCTAACACTGTAAAGTGATTGAATTAAATATCGGTTTGTTAACCCTCGTACACGATACCGCTTGTCGCTTCTGATTTTCTTCTCAGTTCACAATTGTTTTCCACTTTGCAACTGTGAACCATATTACACGACTGTCGTTGTAATTAGTAACTTCCCTTGTTGCTGACAGATCAGACTTATCTATTACACGAGACTAACGTCCAATCAAAACACAATTCGCCGAGTTAAAAGGAAAATTAGTTTTTACCAGATGAATTTAAGCTCGACGGTACATACAAGCCACAGATTGTGAGCTATCGCGCCATTGATTCAACTATCACGCCGTTGCAGTCTGTTCTGCCCACGTTGGCGGAACACCCTGAAACTCATGTGAACGTGTATCGGAACGTGTACTTTCAGTCAGCTGACAAATCGATGAAAGTAAGACAGACCTATGCTCGATCGCGAAGCCTATCCAAGCGAATGAAATGTCAATCCGAAGCTCCTAGCATTCAATGAAGCCATGCTGATCAATCGCTATCGACGGAGCCTATCCGCACAAAAGACTGACAGGCCCCATTTGCGGTAGAATATTGATTCCGATTCGTTTATAACGACTGGTTGCCTCCGCCGTTTCATTCCTCTGTTCTGATGTAATCTGATAGTCTTTGGTACCTGGCTGACAACGTAAAACCAAAATTTTGACATCCCTCCAACATTTTTATGTGACCGTTTAAAGTCTTTTTTATTGATTTGTTTTTAAGTGTCTTGAGTCCAATATGCAGAGTTATAATCCATCTTTCGTGATTCAGTCCAAGTCGTTGATCCCTTTCCGTTGATTTCAATATCCTGTAAGCATTTTGAAGGTTGATGTACTTGATCTGAGATCTTCAAGCGGTCACACCTTGATTCACATGTCATATTCAGTGCGTTTACGTTTACGTGCTACTTGACAGAAGGTTAATGATGTGTAGTTGTTCTCCTGGCACTAACTATACGTTACCGGCATACGTGGGCGTACGCACGTCCCATGGATGACATCTACATTTACGCTATCAGATTTCCGCTGCTCTTAATTCTGCTTGAACCCGAATTGGATGAAAGGATCTATTTCTTTGAAGACATACCTAACTATCCGAATTGATCAATTGCAATAATTTCCACACGAATCGGAAATGGCAGTTATATTTCAGGACTCGACTCATATGAATTTTTGTTGCGTACCCAATGTCCCCCGGATAACCCAGTTTCCGATCGTTGTGTTTGTATCCCTTCTAACTTTGCATACCGCTCTATATTGCACCGTATCCTGTTTTGCACACTAAACAGTGCAAGTTAACAGCTGATACTGTTGGCCTAGAATAGGGATGCGCTTAGGTTGCCGGATCGTGACTCGTAAATCTGGGGTGGGGACCGCGGTACCAGATGTGGCATTAAACTCGCCTGAATCCTAGGTAACAGATGTCTCGCTGGGTCATACTGTTAAGGTGCGAACCGTCTAGATTAACCGCGGCGATAGGAACGGAAACTTATTTAATGACATCAATAATATCTGAAGAAAATCGATGCACGAATCTGTAAGGCTTGGGTCGCGTTTGCTAATTGGAGTCAAAGCGATATATCCCTGAATCTCAAGGAACTTATTAAGCAGGTTACAGTACGACTGTTTTGTTATATGGCCTGTTCGAGCACCGGAACTGGGACATCTTCACTTGTTCGACAACCGTTATCTCAGGACGATGGGTCGTGTGGTTTGGTGTCGGCGAATCCATAATGAGGCAGTTAGAAAGTACCGGTTGTGCAACGGGTACTTCCATTGAAGAATGTGTCCAGCACCAGAAGCTGCGTTGGTTGGGACGTGGGTTGCGTATGCCGAACCATCGTTTGCCGAAGAGAGTGCTGTTTTCCATGCCTAATTCGGAGTGGCTTAAGCATAGAGGTGGCCAACCCTTGACTTGGCAAAGGAGTATGGAGGTTACGAAACGCCTGGGTGCTGTCGGTGCTGCCCGTCTTCCAGGATGGGGACCGCGTGATCCCCACTACGCCTGGTTTCAGGCACTACAGGATATGACTGCTAATGGATTTCAGTGGCTTGTTGTCAGTTTCTGTCTGGATTGCTTGAGTGAGTGCTTGGAGGTGTGCGCACCTGAGAATGATCGTAGTAAGTTAGCACCAAGTCCCTCCCCTGTCCAACTTTGTTCTTTTCTTCGCAATTAGGTTTTCAAGTAAATCTTAGTTGTGCAGCAGCAAAGCATCATTGTTGAACACTAATATCATGCTGTCGATGATGATGATATCCATTATTGACTTTGGGTGTAGCCAGTCAATGTTTTTTCTACCTTTTAACGCGCCTTGGCAGATGATAGCTGTTGATACTGTTGCTTATCATCTCCGCATGTTAACCTTTTCCCGTTAGACTATTTCCTTTCATTGACAACATCCATTTGTTTCTATTTGATACACTTGTGGTGCTGATCTTCAGTGGGTTGCTCGAGCTAATTATAACTTTCCGTTCATGGCCGCTTCGATACTGGGTAGTCCGATTTATCCCTATCTGGGAGATTTTGTTCTCTGACGAGTACAGTCGACTTTTTAGGTTTTACGGGTGAATTCTTTGACTGTGAAAAATACCCTTCAAAGCGTGACGAGGTCTATGGTCTTGGTTCGCCCTCCCCTATTACCTCAGCAGACATTAATACTCACCGTTTTAAACTCCCACATACTCCAATGCAGCGCTTCCTTTCGTATCATCCGGAATTTCCTGTCCACGTTAGTGCGTTTTTTTTTTTTTGACAGACGCATGGAGCTGGATCAGCTGGTACAACCTCCGAATATGACTACGCGTATAACGGCTCTTGGAGTATGGGTGTGAAGGTAAGTTCCTGTCGAATGCCCATTTACCATTAGGAAAACCCAGGGTACCAGGGTTGCTGATTTTCATCCCCCTCCATATAAAGGGTATGGTCTTATAAAAACCACTATCTCTTGCTCCTGACGAAAGAACTTATTCAAGGTTGCTGAAAACTTTCCGACAAACTTGTAGGCAGCATCCCTTCAAGGATATACACTGCGATTTCTCAAATATCGTACCAACTGAAACAGGAGGCCTTCTCAGGTGACATAGATCTACGCCACCTGAGCTACCGACATTCTCCTCTATAGAGGAGGCGGCCTTTCTACAGCACATTCAGTTGAACGATATCTTAACCGAGGAATTCAGCTGCGATTTAGTCGAGTTTCCTGTTGAAACCAAATTAGTTTGCAAAAGGAGCCGTTTGCGAACTTGAGCTTGACCTGTCGTCACGGGAAGCCCTTCAAGTGGGAAATAACCCTACGTATGCTGAAATTCCAGGAAACCTTATAGTACTTTTTTGTTTTAGTTTCCACTTCGTACTGTTACTATTATTACGATGTGTTTCTTTACGTGCGCTCAATGAAAGTTGTACGAACGAAGTACGTGGGTGCTTGTCGCGAAAGATCAAACGGGCTCCTAGTCAACTCACTCGCAGATTGAGGGTCAGTTGGATGGGACTCCTGGTGGCCAGTGTTCACACTCAAATTTTGTGCAAAAATGCAACAGTCAATCTAGTTTACAGTGTATTCATTTGCGCCAAAGCGCAATACAGACTGTCCCTATGTCAACTAATACGTATCGTCCTTCTGCTTCGTGTTTTTTAGACTCCCTTTAGTTGTATAAAAATCATAATTCTACAATATGTCGCCACACAACTTGATCTTGGACTCTAGCGTTCTAATGTTAATTCAATGCTGATTGCTTTTTTTACACAATGATCCCCAGGTTTATTGTCCTGAAAGGTTCTACTTCGCATTTGCAATTTTTTCATACAGCCCGGCGCTTATTTTATTAGTTTTGCGGTACTTTTTTTAACGGAGTTTAATTCAATGTGCCCCTAGACTAGTCTGCATAGGTAGTACTCTCTGTTTCCAGCGATATTTTGTATCATGCAGTGCTTTGTGAAAGTTGTCGCATCATCGTTCCGCTCACATTCAACACCACATGCGATAGGTATTTGAAATCCATTTTGCTGGCATCCGTGTGATTGATTAACGGTTTATTCACTGATCGATTTGTGTTTATCCAGAGTCAAATCATCCTATCAGTTTTATGGCCGCAAACCCCTAAACTGGAATACGTCAAGTGGTCAAGATGGTTACAAACATGGCTCGGCGACACTAAGGGATGTTTTCATATCCAGGTCATTGCATTCTGTAGATAGATGTTCACTCTACACTCCGCTGTTATCGGTGCGTATCGGTGCGTGTGTATATTCTCGTATGGATCTTCTTTGCTACCACTACTGACTCAGCTGCTTTGGATAGACCACGAAATATAATCTAGACTCAAATTTGTACTCACATACATTGGCCTCTCCGTTTTCGGTTTACAATGCCACAACAGCGACATTTGGTTACATGGAAGTCCACGCAGACACAAGGCCTTATTGAAGAGGCTCGCTTTATGTGTCAGAGCTGGAAGAATTATCATGAAATGACCAGAAATCCTCACAAAGTTCTCCGGCCATTTAGGTTTGGCTTATTAATCATGGTGTCGATCCCGTGCGTTTTACTGGACGGGTTAGCGTTAATGCTAGTCATGTTTTCGCTTCTACAAAGGGTCTCTTCTGGGGCGGGTGCTCTCCGGTCTTGATCAAATGAAGTTCAGCGAAATTCAATCTGAAACAACATCACTGCTGTGGAAAGTATTGTTTGCACAGTTTGTGTATACATCTACTGAGTGCACAAATCGGCAACCCTCACGTTGGTTCTAAACGCACGGCGTCAAACCCGGCATGGGCTTTCATACCTCAGAAATCAGTCGTCCATGAAGAACATCTTGTAAGAAACGTCATCAGGAGGTCATAACTCTCCTGAGGATCCATCACTTGCTCCAACTCGAAGATACTCGTAGAATCAGTCATCAACCATTGGTGACAAGTCATCGTGGCTTGTTCACGAGGCAATAAATACTACGTCAGAACGTAGTTTGGCATTTGATTTTCATACGGCCAGATGTCCGACTGTACAAGGTCGTGGAATGTCAGTTCGATTATCTGCGTTCGACCCCAAAATTTCCCGCTTATCTCGAGCTGAGACTTACGTTAACTTGGACTGAACCGTGCTCAACCGTTCGCCCCTTATTTAAGAACCGCATGAATTTTCTTGACCTGTCTGGACGAAGCAGCATTCTTCTTCGAGTGATTGTGATTTTCACGTCTTCTGGGAATGTCACAGAGCTTCAACGGAGATTTCACTAGTTACCCCTATTAACTTCGGACTCTGTTTGATTGGTCTGTGCCTTCATGTCACAAAGATCGATCTGACTTCATTCTCACTGGAACTAAGATGGTGTTCTTTTTGCTAGGTAACAGAGTGATTTGAATGGTGAAGTGATGTTGGCGGTTTTGCGCCAGTCCCCAACCACTCCCCTTGTGTTAGTGCGTTCTTTAATGGCTTCCATTGACACTGGCTGACATTTCATCCGCCTCCCCGTCCCCGCCGATTCTTTTTCAGCTCAACCTAAGTTTGGCTATGAACCAGAATAACGAAACCCACCCAGGTTCAGCCGCACACCAGCGAACGTTGCTTCCCGCTTCAGGACTAGCCAATCATCTATCTGCCACGCTAAGCCCACCCGCAGTGCCCGCGCATCAGAGTACACGCACTGCCGTGAATAGCTGCAAAGCGGACACTGGTAGTGCAAGAGCGAAGGGTGTTACGCGTGGACCGGCTTCCGCCCTTTTACCGCAAGAATTCGATAGTCTATCGACGGATAGTTGCGATGACTCATGGGATAAAACCCATGGCCGTGTGGTTCGTGAGTTGACAAGTGAGTGAAAATGGTTGGGTATATTTTTCACTGGTCTGCCCGATGGACTCATACTGTTTCAAATGCCATTGAAGGTCCATCTATTTCCACTTGTCCCCGTCAATGTATTGTCACCGATCTGCCATTCATTTCTAGAAAAAAGTGACGCAGTCCGTGGAAAACCCGCCATATGGGGTGAAAAATGCTAACTTCACTGAGTTAAAGGCCGTACAGCTACATCGCCATAACCTGTCACTCACTTAGCGGGTTACAAGTGATGTATGGGCCGCGCATCTCACGTTGTCCGTACTCACTACCTGGAGCAGATAGTTGACTAATACTTCGATTTCGTTGGAAATGCTCTTCAAAATCTGGCTTGTGTGGTGGTGGCGTTGAGTAAACCTCTGCACAGAACCTCCGCAACAGTTCTATTTTCTATTTTGACCAATCCTTCCGGTATGCTGTAGAGAGCGAAATATCCGAGAAAGCTTGTGGCACGTAGCATCTAACCGACAAACAGATTCATTTAGGTCAAAGCAAACACTGTGTCAGGGAGCCTGTGTACGGATACACTATGTTTGCCACACTCACATCCACAGTTGATATGTGGAAAGATAAAGGCACCTTAGCTGGCAACAGGCCACCACAGAATGAGCTGCTCAGGAACGCTAATAATCCAACACTAGAAGGATACGACTAGTTCAATCATCGGTGGGGTCTTCTGTATACGGTCGTGATTTCGTGCGCTTCCGGCAGGGCATCCGGAAACTACAGCCAAATCCGGTCGGAGGAATGGTGATGGTGGCTCTTTGATAGTATAGCAGCTTTGTTGACTGGAAATTGCTGAGTGGCTATTAGGAGTCTCCTGCAGCATCTCTGAACATCTGACTACCGAACTGAATATGGAAAGTGTGTAATACATCCATCCCATTTCAAGAAAACCGAAGCATGCAAGCATCCGATTGCCCGGCATGCAGATTTGCGCTTAACTCCACTAGAAATTCCGCTGAGTGTTGCTTTTGAAAGTTCATTCCAGATGCCATGTATTTCAAGCTGTTAGTCAATTAGAAGCAGCTACTTTGCTTGAATGGCAGGACCCTAAAGTTCGCGTTATTTCCAACTCCAGTCAGATAGTGCCCGAAGGGCTTTGTATCTGTTTGCCAGATTACTGGTCACATTTACATCCGCCCTATATTTCGAACAACCATCCTGCTTTTCCACCACAGTTATTCTGAGTAAATCCCACCAAAGAGGGGAAACACTGTACTCGAGTTTCGCTCTTATTTGGGTACATCAGCAGTGCACATCCACTGTGATATTTTCACTCCGACCATCTGACACGCAAGGTGAAAGTGTTGGCACTACTTCGCGAACGCATACTTGACACATCTGAATAGGTAAACGCGTTAACGTTTGAGCAGTATGGTTTGTTTACGCAATAACTTAAACAACCAGCCAACAACTGTCCTGGTTGCCTATCTATTGGCTCACCTGTCAGAAACGCCCAATCAGGTAGTGCCACAGACTTCTGAAGTCTGCAATGGCAATCTCTTGAATAGTCGTAGTTGGTTGTGCTTTTTTTTGAAGGAACTATCTTCTTGGCATTTCCAATGGTTCGGGCGAATGGACTTCGTGTAGTGCACCACGACTGCTGTGGAAGCGCCAATACAAGCTGTCTCACCTGTGGTTGTTGAGGGAACAATAAAAACTCATCATTTCTTATGCCGAGATGCGCGGTTCGGTTGTATAGGTTCGCTGTTGGGGACTACTTCGCCAGATTTCAGGTTAATTAACGATGCAACATGAATACCAGCTGAAACTGCTAATGACAGTCGGAGACCAATTGAGCTGCGAATTTCGATTGAGCAACCACCAGCCCACACTTCACGACCCAGTGATGATGTCACATCGATTCGTGATGAAATGTTTCCAACCCAGTTGTTCATTTAAGTAGTGCTTCTGAGACAAAACCCACTATGATGACTTTCAATCAGAAGGGACTACCAGTCTTTTCAACAAGGTAAATGCCTCAGCAGTTTGTCGGGGGAAGTTTTACACCAATAAGGATAATGGTGCCGGGGTTCACAACTAGTACCCAGTCTGACCCACTCAAAACACTACAGACAACTGACAGTTTGTGGATAAAGTTCAGCTCATAACGGTTGTCTGCGAAGTGATCATGCTTGAGATTGTGTGCTGGTCTTCGACTTGAAGAAAAAGCCCATGACATTGTCTACGGTTATCCAGAGACTGACAGGAGTTGCCTACAAATATTTCACCAAGTTTGGAGTTCCCGTTACCTGTCCAGTCGGTTACACTCAAACATAACTTGGGTAATCTGGTTTGTCCTCTTTGCTCACCGAATACTGACACTGCGTAGATTTTTCTATGGATATCCAGTTAGCGAAACAACAGTTGAATTGCTGGGTTTCCATTTCCGCTTTGTGTTTCCCGGATGTAGGTATACTTTGGAGTAGTAAAATGTATTCACCTGTAACACCCTTTCGGTGCCTAACGGCCATGCTCCCAGAAGGAAGCACGAGGGCTGGGTTACTGTCAAATTGCCCAAGCCTAGGCAGGGGAGTCGAGAGGCAAATGTCGGGTTCGAACCACGAACCTTACGGTCAGTAAATTCGCGCTCCAACCACTGAGCCATTTCGGAATGAGGAATATGTGGCGTCTAGAGTAGTGTTTCATACTGGGAGCACTTACATTTTCCTAATAAATATTCAGTACTTTAACGAACCTATCAAGCCGGCAAATCAATGGTCGAGCTTTCCACCATCAACGCACAATCCTACCTTGTATTATGAGCCGGTTTTCTTTTCTATGTTGTTCGCGTTAAGTGCATCCGAGCGTTTTTTTCATTTTCAGACTGTCGCGTTGTCGATCCGGCAGCTGTTCTTCCCGCGGTGGGTCTGTCCAACAGGGACGCATCGATCATCGGTGTTCCTATCTCGATGAAGTCGGTCGGCCAGGCATCCACCACAGTTGTTTTACCCCAATCAATCTGTGGTCCCCAACTCGACCGACCGCGATCGGGTGTCTTACAGCACTCTCCGGCCGATTTGAGGACACCTCAGAGCTGGACAGTGCGGGCTGCTAACCTGCAGTCTTTGCCGTTGGAAGAACAACCGTATGTACTCGCCCCTCTTTTCCAGTTTAACGCAATATGATGACTTAAGGTGGCTTTAGGATTTCAATATACGATGGTGAAAATCATGTGTCACAAATAATACAAGGAGTCATTAGAATTCGAGCGCTTTGCTACTTGTCCTCCGCAACAGAATCATAGTGGCGTTTTTATTTATCAAATTGAGCATCCCTGATGCGGCTAAAACGTTGACATTCTATGGGGGAAGTCAGACACAGTAAGACGTTTCAATAAGACTTCGCAGAGGAACCAGTAACTTTAATTGCTGTTGGCTTGTCCGTGGTATCGTAGAATGTGAACTCTGTAAACCCACAACCGGTCGGTTGGGTGTGGAATGATTATGATTCAGAGGAAAACCATAGATTGGTTTATCTTTCATCATACGATCATGCACACAACCGTCCTCATTTCATTCAATAAGCCATGATTTTTTTTACCGAGGTTACAGCCATGTTACTCCACAATTGCCGAACACAATGCAAAATGTGAAAATAGTCGTTCTGACAATCTAAACTCAAATCCAATTCAGCGCAACGTGAAGCTTCTGGTAAACGAACTGCTTATTATGACTGCACTGATTTGTTTGTATGGCAACGAGCTCTTATCGTACGGAAAGACCGGGGCAGTATGTGTCACGACACCTGTCAGCGATTGTTTTAGCTCCGCGGCTGCCCCACCTTGAAGCATATATGGGCTTCCACAGATCTTGTCTTTTACTAGCTTACTCGCAAATATCAGTAACCGACTTTCAACGCGGATTTTCTTCTTTCTGAACGTCACGCTTTCTATTTGCCTTTTCCGTGGTTTATGGGTTCTTCCAACCTACCTAGCAAGCTCTATCTCTCGTTTTAGTTGTATTTCAATCCGAGAATATTTAGTTGAGTTTCATTGCACTGTTTTCTGTTTTGATCACCCTCGTTTTTATCCGTATCCCACTTACCGTACATTTTCACGCCTATGCCCTTTTGCCAAAGGTGGTTCCACCCGTCCCTAACCCGTTCTGACGCAGAGGAACTTATGTCCAACGAACCCGAGGGCAGTTTTCTCGTCCGGAACAGCGAGACCTGCGTGAATGATTACTCCCTAACCATCAGGTATGAAATTCTTCTCATCATCGGACTGCCATGTGGCAGTTCATATTGCGTTTCATATTCCAATATTTTCGAGAAAAGATTTTCCAGGAGTCACATGTCACCCTGATCATAGACACCTTTTATCACGTTTTTTGTATTCGCTGTCTTGGTACTACGTTTGCTGACTCCTGTTTAACCTCCTCGTACTTTTCTGGTTAACAGACACAAAACCTTTCTGCATATGAAGATTTCTCGAAACCCCCGCGGCCAGTTCATTTTGGGTGAGTATAGCCAACCGTATGCAAGCGTGCCTCAAATGATCTACCATTATGCGTCTACCTCTGTACCCGTCCGTGGAGCTGAATATGTGATGCTCATTCATCCGGTATGTCGGCAGATTACCCGACCTCTACCACCGCCACCACAACCAGGCTGAAACGCCCGTCCAACTCCTTGAACCTCTATCAAACCCTGACACAGGCTTACACGTTCCCTTTCCCGTCCCCACTCATTCCCTCCATGTGCCATGTCAGAATCGACCATAGCGCCTTGTTGATTTGTATTTCCACACAGAACTCCACGCGTGAACATGAGCTGCATTTCGACTCAAATCAAGCCATAAACTCGTCCATAAACACCCCCCCCCCATCATCTGCTACCACTGGATCGTTTCTCAGAAACTTTTGTGATACGCGCTTTTTCAGTTCCCGTATTTCCCTTATCTAATATATTCGTCTGATCAACATTTGCACAACCCACCTGCATCCGACCAGCGTAGTACTTTCGGTGAACCAGTCATATTAGCTCTTCCAGTTACAATCTTCTCGACAGAGATCATCTACATTTACAAAATTTTTTCGTTTTTGTCATTGGGCCATTTGATTTTCTCTTCATATTCGCCGACGTAGTTATGACGCCATTCAGCCGCTGAGTTTAATTTCTATTGTGTTTTGCATCGCCCGGTTGCACCCTTGCCCAGTTCTGTACAGTATTCGGAGCTTTTTGTACGTGGATCCCTTCCCCATGTCGTCTCGCCCTCTCATTGACCGGTCACTGAATTTGACACTATCGCTTGCTTCTGTCTGCTAAACAAGCGGCTTGGTCCATCATTTTGTCAGTATGAACTTGGGTCATATACACTTTTATGCGATGGAGTTGTTCGACCCGGAAATTCCACTTTCCTATCGTTTAATAGAAGTTAAAAATTGGTGGTACTGCCTGACAGTCTGAGATGACAGTGTACTCGGTGAGACCATCGGTATGATGAAAGGATACAGCCAAGCATTGCCAGTACAACAAAATTCTATGTTCAGCAGGTGTTCTTTAACACCTAGTTGTTTGTGGTTGGGAATTGTGCCGCTGTTGGAGTAGTCCGTTTATACCAAGGAACCTCGATGGTTTCAATTCCTGCCCGTTGCTCATGCTAGGTATAAATATACCCTGGTATGAATTCACGGTGGACCAAAGGCTGGCGGTGGCCCCGCAGCAATAGAAGGACGTATTTGACGTGTTGAGATGCTTTTACGTCCTTAAGGAAAACCAAATCCCAGCCAGATTCTCGGAATTTTCCAGTAAGACTTCCCAATGTGATGACTTTCATGCCACGCAGTACCAAGCCACTCTTGAGGTCGCCAATAAACTGTCCAGGGCAGTTTGCGTCAAAATGCCCAAACCCACAATGTTAACCACGTTCTTTCAATGCACAACTTCGCTATATTTGCACAAGCCTTCTCAGTAAATTTGATTGATTTTAAACTACCCTTCACGGGAACGTTATCCATTTCGTACAAAACCGAGCTTCTACGCCACTCAGTGGTTGCCTGTGAACAACACAGCAAATGAAGAAGATTCTACAATCTACCGGGTTTTTCATAACCTACACCGCCACCTTTTTTTCCGACTGCTTTGCCCGAAAAGTTAACAAACAGACTCTTGTTCTTTAGTCTCTTAATTTTTATGTTGGTGTGAGACTCAATAGGTTTCACTGAGATTTCATCCTGTCAATGAATCCAGTCTGCTGAAATGCTGGGAATCGTTGTACAGCTGGTTCATCCTTATTGGAGATAATCAGCAGCACGTATCTCGCGAAACTCAGAGTTTCGAACTCGTGACTTTGGCCTGTCATTGAACCCGTTTGGCCACGAACGGCCGAATAGCAATATGGTTAGCTTCAAGCTAGATTGGATATAGCGCCGCCCATTCTCCAATAGCAAAAACCACATCACGTGATCAGGTATTGCGTTTTAAACGGAAACAATTTAGGTTTCTCCACTCACCTGAGCTTGAGGTAGTTCAGTGATTAGGTCGCACACTTACTGACCGGAAGGTCGGTGGTTCGAACCCGACCGTGGCACCTCGACTGCATTTTCCTTGGCTTCGGCTACCCAACAGTATCTCTGCTCTGCCGCTTCCCTCAGTGACATGACAACTAGGCACTAAAAGGATGTTACACCTGAGTGATTGTTTTATCACTGTTGTCCTTCAGTCACATGATATCATAGACTCACGAAAAAAGCCTTTGAAATATAAGTGTAGGGCGGTTTGTTTCTACCTCTGCTGTATAAGTTCCCCCTCAGCAGCAACGTGTCTCCAACTGATTGCCAAAGCATGTACAGACCTTCAGGACCAGGAGCTGTCTGTTGGCAAAATGCCTGACAAATAATTCAGCATTTCGGTTGGTCTCATTATCCGATGTGTTTTTCATCCAAATGATTGCTCGAGATTACCTGCGAAAGGCGCCTATAAGTGTTAATTAACGTTGTAGTTCGATCTAGTGGGAAGTAACGCTTTGTGCCCCGATCCCCGTATTTCGCTTTCCCCTGCATATTAACCCGTGAACTTCCGCATACGGGTAACTTGGGACATTTCCACGTACACATTCCTATAAAGGGGAGCACCTAGCAATATTGTTAAAACCGAAGGGTGGATATGAGGAAGAACTACTGATATAAGAATGTCTAAATATAATGCCGGTGACCGGTTTCGCCCTTCCTAAAGCTCATCGGGTTGTAGCATTCCCCGAATTTCAGTCATTGTTGTTGCGTCGCCAGTAACTTTGTTAATTCTATCGAACAGAACTGGGGATTGTCTCGGAAAGCGTGCTAATCTTGTTTTAAGTTCTGAGAGTTCGGAAGGCACAGTCTTTGTCACAGGGTTCTCCTTGTGGGGATTTATTCTGAACTTAGAGCTTTTTGGTTAATAGCAACTGGTCCACTCAACTTTTGGAAACAGCTCCTTACAATGAAACATCCCCTGAGTTCGTTGAGAGTCGACTGGTACACTCGGTCCTTGCATTATTCATTTTCCGGTCTCCCTAGTATTAATTGCATAAAATTTTTCATCTCTGCTCAGTTTCCAATTTGCTTTAACTAGTTGATACAGGGCTGGCAATGTTGCGGAATATAGATTGCTCGGGAGCGCGGCTTGGTTGTTGGTCTGTTCACCGAACTTGGAATTCGGACTGCAAACGTTTATTCGTCAATCAAGGTGATCTTTCCAGTACGGGGTTGACAGACAATGTCACTTCGATTGGTGATGAAATGGAAATCTAGAACCGTTCGCCATACGCTTGCCAGTTCTGCGCTTTCTTTCCTATCCACACTGGGGTGCTGGGCAATTTTCACCACCACGCCCGTCAATCTCTTTGGCATCAATCTTAGTCTCGGCCTCAAAGCTTTAACATTTTTCAAATCCGTTTTGCGCCGACTGTCTAGTGCATACCCCATACAGCCACCGATTGTTTATCAAACCCTTCTGAAACGATAAGCTGGTGACTGTTCTGGAACAAAACTGGAGAATAGTCCATCAACAGATTCAATAAACACTATCTATCGGATTAGGTATGGAGGACTTGAACTTGAGGCTAGACAAGATATCACCAAGATTATAAGGACGTAATACATATAGTTGCTGAAAATTCTTCGATATCATAACCGAGAAATTCAGTTGGGTTACAAGTTGATGTTCCGTCAAAACCAAACTGATATGCAGATGAGTGTATTTGTTGATATCATCAAGATGTTTGAACGACATGGCTCCTGAAGTGACCGCTTGCTTTCGGTAAACACATTTTGTACAATGCTGCTGCCTCCTGGCTGAAATTCACTGACTTTCAGCCACTAGGATTGAACTCATGGTGAAAAACAGGAACGGCTTCATAATTTTGCTAAGAATTTCATTATATTCACCTTAGACTTGAAATTCCAGCTGCCTGTATTGAACTGCAGACCCTTGATCACGCACAGCGATTTTCTGAAGTGCGCCTTTATCTTTCGAAGAGTGCTTCATTTCTGCTTCTTTGTTCGCTAGCATGTTTTTACCTCTGTATACGTCTCACAATCTTGAAACCTCAACTTCATGGCTATTCGACGTGGATGCATTTCGCCAATTCGAAGATGAAATGCGGCTCATTAAAAAACATTCTTCACGCTTGAATTGTCGTATCCATTATTCAATCGAGATTACGCTGGAATAGAAAGACCGTATCACTTGTATGATTCCTCTATGCAGGCGTGATTCCGCTCAAAGGCACTCATCGATAAAATTGACCGTTTATCGACCACGTGTTAAGTTCGAAGAGCGTTAGAATTATCCGAGTTGTAAAGAGAACTGAAGATCTGGAACCATTTTAACTATATCACCACTATCTCACCACTCGTATCCGAGGCTGAGGCGTTTCTGACCGGCTTGGTGACGTTCGGGTTGTTGAACGCTTATTCCTTGAGGCGCTGTGTGCAGTGGAAATGACTGTTCTACTAAAAAATGAAACACGCACATCAGTGAGCTAACCTTCTACTTGACAGGTGAGAGCAGTCTTGAAGTAAGCGATGGTACCTTTCATATTCAGACACTATATACATATATTCATTCGGATCACTAAGGTTTTACTGTTCATCAACAACTTTTGATGACTGGAGTTCTTTTTGAAGACTAGTTACTTAAACGGGCGTATTATTAAGTTGGTTAGTCTCGCATCGTCTTACACCGAGAACGGGCACCGAATGAGTTCAGTCGGCCTTTTTGGTAATGCATACTCTTAGTCAAGTCCACACGCAATACACAAATAATAGTTTGCGTTTCGAAACGTAAGGCTTGGCAGTGCCAAAGAAATGGTTACAGAAAGTTTGCTAGTTAACAAGGCTTCAGCATATCAAAAGCCTTATTCTTACTGGGAATAGTGAGTGATGCCGAATGGAGTTGAATCACCAATAGTACTAGTATGAATAACTTTTTTGTGGTGAGATTTCATTGTCTGGACCTATTTTGAAGTTGTGTTAATTTGCATTGAGTAAGCGCACACAGATCGAGTGTTAGTCGATGAGTGCGCTTATATCAGTAAGGATTGAATATATGCCCTTTTCTTCCCCTCGATTATTGTCCAGATCACTATAAGCACCTGGACGATGTTATATCTGCTGATTCGTAAATCTGTGGTATCTGCTGTTGACCTGCTCCCATGTCTAGTTGCCGGAAAAAAGATTCACAGAAGGGAACACAACAGCCATATCCCAAACAGGCGAGTGTGAGAGCAAAAGTTACAGCGGCCCACGCTATTTAAAGGGGGCTTTCTGACATTGATCCAGGCTGTCTGATAGGCGTTAGTGAACACCCGTCAACATCGATCGTGCCTCTATGAAAAGCCTGAACGCTGATCACATTAGGTCGTGCTTCTGTGGCGTTCATGAACACTCATCAGCTTTCGCTGAATTCATTGAATGATTGACTGGCCTGGATGCTTGCTTGAGATTTTGGTGGAGCAATAGGTTCCCCGGGCGTTCTGAGGTTACATTCAGGAATCTGACCTTCCTCATAGACGAGCCTTGGCGAAACTATTGTTCGAATTCCGAGGTAAAATTTTCTCATTGAATAACGGAGAGCCTTCGTACATGCGCATTTAACCCATCACGTACAACGGTTCAGAAACATCGGTTACAAAATGAATAAAGCTTCCCGGAAGAACAAACGGAATTAGAGGAAATGAAATAAAAGAATTCATTTCAAAAGCCACATTTTTAAAATGAAACCACTGTAGTTCGCTATAAAAAAAAACGATCTGGGGTCAGCTTATTTCGGTTACTGACCTTTCGTGGTATAACTCGATCAGAAACAAACCAAGCAGTGCACAGGGACGAGTGATAGACGGAAAACTGCTAACTGAACATGAAGCTAAGAGGTTTCCGGTAAACATATTCTTGTAACTTCACCAGTACAGGAATTACGAATAAGAAAACACAACGGTCACCGCATTATTGTGATGATGCATGACAGGTAATAGACGACACTGCACACAGCTGGTAATGAACACACTTCCGGGATTTATGTTATTTCTTATTAATAGTGAGAACGTGCCTTCCATGGTTATCGTCCAT